AATATACGATTACCCCTTAATGTAAGTTCTTATTACGTGTTCATATATAAAAATATCTTGAGTAATTAACACTAACAATGCAATATACGATTACCCCTTAATGTAAGTTCTTATTACGTGTTCGTATATAAAAATAGCTTGAGAATTAACACTAACAATGCAAAAATTTGTATTATTATTGTTATTTACTCCTTAATTTGTTTAAATACCCATAAAATGTGATTTTTTTTTCATGGTAACCCGAGTTGCATTGAGTACAGTCCCTAAAAAAGCACATAAATATTGGTGTATAGAGTTAATCGTACAATTAAACTCAAGCTTACTTAGAGTTAATAACTACTTATCTCGAATATACTGCAACAAATAAAGATGAATAGGCAATCGCTAAAACGCAAAGGCAAAGAAAATGCTGATTCGAATAAACTTCTCTTAAACCGTGAACGTGATAGAATGAGACATCAAGAAAAAAGAAAGCTAGAAACTGCTGAAGAGCGTAGTCAACGTTTGGCAAAAGCGCGTGAATATGCTCGAAAAAAAAGAAAACACATTTTAGAGCCTTCTGAACAGGAAAACAATCAAATGGTAACTGAAACAGAAGCGCAACCTGAGAACCCATTCGTTCAACAGCTATCCGATGACGATCGTAAACGTCTTAACAAATTTCGTACTGAAATGAATAACTGTGCTCATCGCTTGTGCCCTACATGCAAAGAGCGGTTTCCATCAATAACACTCGTTATGGGAGAATGTCGATGCTGCTATAGTGAAAAAGGTGAAATAAAAAAATTTTCGGCTGAAAATAATATGGATCCTGGTGATGTGCCTGAAGAACTAAAGGGTCTCACTGATATAGAAGAAATGTTAATAGCTCAAATTTTTCCTGTTGTGTCTGTATATTACCTGCGCGGGGGTCAGTACAGATACCGCGGAAATGTTATTAATTTCCCCCAGGACGTAAAAGATTTCATGACACGGCTTCCGAAGCATCCTCAAGCATTAGGGATGCTAATTGTACGACGTCAATCTTCAAGAGGCCAACAGACATTCAGAGATTTCATCGTTCGCCAAGCCAAAGTAGAACGAGCACTTTACTGGCTAATAGCAAACAATCGCTACTATAAAAACATTGAGATTGATTATAATGTGCTACATTCGTTACCAGAGGATGGTTCTGTTGACAATCAGCTTCCACAACTTCAGAATAAAGATGACGATTTCCAGAACAATGAGGACGAAATTTTGGATGTAGAAGGTGGTCAGTTAATTAATGACAATGAAGATGTAATCACTCGTAACTTCGTACCAACCCCTGCCCCATCCTCTAATGAAGAATATGCTATTAATAATGCTCTTACTCGAATGCAAAATGAAAATGATCTAATCATATGGCCAAAGATGGACGATAATCCTATAAACGAATTTAGCACTCCAGGATATATTGCTTGCACTTTCCCAACTCTATATCCAACAGTCGATGCAGACCTTCGCGCAGAGCATGCCAATGATGTTAAACCCGCCGAATACTTCAGGCATTTACTTAAGTACAAGGATAGAAGGTTTGGGCGTCACACTAGATGGCGATATTTTGCGTTAAATTCACAAATGAGATGGAAGGCATTGCAAGAAGGAAGAATTTATGTAAAACAAAATCAAAATAGCATGCATCTTACTGTTGACAAAGTGCAAGAATTAGCTAATAGCGATAGTCATCTTGCCGACAAAGTAATTCGTTTTGGCGAAGATTTGCGTGGAACAAAACAATTTTGGAAAAGACGACTTTTTGAATTGTCTGATATGATTAAGCAGTTAAAGACTCATGGAATGATTTTCTTCATGTTTAGTGCCGCCGATTTACACTGGCCAGAGCTGCATAGGCTTATGCCGCATGGTGAAAACCCAGTAGCTGGAGAATCTGAGCAAGAAGCAAGTAAACGTCGTCGCCAAAATTTAATAGAAAATCCTCATATTGTCGCCTGGTTTTTTGAAAAGCGGTTCAAAGCATTCTTGGAAAAAGTCTTGATCCCCAAATGGAACCTGGAAGATTGGTGATATAGGTTCGAATGGCAGCACCACGGCAGCGTTTATGTACATGGTATCGGGAAAATAAAAAATGCGCCTGTGTTTGATTGAGAAAGAATAAAAAATAACGATGAGGAAATGAATTCAATAGTTAACCATTTTAACTTATTAGTTACTACGATTAATCCAGATCTAAACGCATCTCTTCCTGATCGCCACCCGTGCCAAAAATGCAGTGAAGAATTGTGCGATGACTTACAGGATTATGTTGAGCTTGTTAACAAACTACAACGTCATACACACTGTAGTTCATCATACTGTCTTCGCGTAAATAAGGAGGGTCAACAGCAATGTCGATTTGGATATCCTAAAGACAACATAGATCATACCTTCATCCATGACAACAACGGTCAGCCAGAACTCCGCACAGCACGAAACGACTCTTATATTAATCCACATAACCGTCTTCAGCTTCAAGGATGGCGTGCAAATGTTGACTTAAAACCTATTTTAAACATTCATGCCGCTTTACAATACGTCGCTAAATATGCAAGTAAATCAGAGCCACGTTCTGCAACTTTCTCTGATTTATTGGCTACGATTCTTCGTGATAGTAATCCGTCAGATTCGTCTCTTAGTGCTTTTCAGCGACTATTGTTCTCTACAGTTGCAGAACATGACATATCTGCACAGGAAACATGTCATCTCCTTCTTGGTATTCCACTTTATCATTCAAGTCGTCATTTTGTCACATTAAATCTTAACAAGGAAGCGCTTCGATGGCTTTGTGGTACTGGAAATGACGATTTTGTGACAGTAGGCCAAGTTGGACAAACAGAACAATCTCTCTTGCAACGATATTGGAACAGGTCGTTTGAGCTTGAGGATCTCTCGCTATTTCAACTTTATCTGGAATATAGATATTGTAATGGTAATTGGAAAAAATATGAACTTGAAAACATGTGCGTATTTGGCCAAGGCCGTCGCTCCACCGAAACGGTTCTCAATAGGAAGAGTTCTGCCGTATAAAGGTTCTGCTTCATGTTCCCCACAGAAGCTTTGAACAGCTAACTGAAAACAACACTCTTTCATGGCCCGAACTCTTTAATCGAAATCTTAATGAGGTAGAAAGCGAACTTACTGACGTGCTCGGTCCTTCTGTTGACAATTTGGAAGAATTGGTTTGTGAGGATAAAAATGAACAATTAGAATCTGATGAAGACGAAGAAGAAATTCGGTCTGATTGGATGATTTTAGCTGAAATGGGTCCAAATAAAATTATAGATAGTTCTTCTGGTCTAGAGCTAAGTACTACTGATCGGAATTATGACTGGGTCGGAGATGTCAGACGACATTATCCAAATCTTAACGATGTTGATATAGAAGCATTTATACAACAAGTTCGTAGCGATGAAGCTATTTATGATAAAAATTTAAGCACTATTAGTATAGATTACCAAACCTTGAATGAAAATCAACTAAAAATATTTAAGCGACTTGAGTCGCACTATAGCAACATTCTTACAGACGGCAATAGTGAGCCACTAAGAGTAATTATAATGGGAACTGCGGGAACTGGCAAGTCATATTTGATTAATGCAATTCAGCAATTACTTCTAGGGATGGCAAATAGCAGTGGCGTTGAAAACACACCTGTAATTGTGCTCGCTCCAACTGGAGTAGCAGCATTTAATATTCATGGGACAACAATTCATTCGGCACTTTCCATTCCAATAAATGGTAATAACATTGATATAAAAGGTGAAAATTTAAAGCAGCTACAAAAAAAATTGGCTGGTGTTAAGTATATAATAATCGACGAGAAAAGTATGGTTGGGCGTCGTATGCTTGCTTTAATTGACATGCGGTTGCGGCAAGCCTTTCCAGAGAATCAGAATCAACCGTTTGGTGGTCGGTCGGTCATATTAGTTGGCGATTTTGGCCAACTTCCACCCGTGCTTGATCAGCCTATGTATGCGCAAAATCTTAGTCATGATCCGTTATCGAACAACGGCATTACAGCATACATGCAGTTTCAGGAGGTTTATCGACTTGAGGTTGTTCAGCGCCAAGCAGGAAATTCAGAAGAACCACTTCAATTTAGAAATATTTTAATGCGGCTACGTGACGGCGAATCTACTATTGAAGATTGGAAAATACTTAGCACACGGTTTAAAGGGTCACCAAGTATATCGCTAATTGATAGTAACCAGTTCTCAAATGCCACATATATCTTACCTCGAAAGGTTGAAGTTAACAAAATTAATATTAACATGCTGAAGTCATTGAATAGTCCTATTGCTAGGATTCACGCAGTTCATACTGGTGGTAAGGAAGCATCGAAGGCTGATTCGGATGTCACAAAAGGCCTTGAATCACAAATTCTGTTAGCTAAGGGCGCTCATGTTATGCTCAGGACGAATCTGTGTGTGGAAGCTGGGTTAGTTAATGGTGTAATTGGAACAGTCCATGACATATTATTTGAAGAAAATCGGGGACCACCTTTTCTTCCTATCGCAGTTTTCATAGAATTCAGTGCTTACAATGGCCCTGCAATTGTTTCTACTGAAGGTAAAAGAATTATTCTGATTCCACCTATCCGACGCTCATAGGATACAAATACAGGGACTTGCTCACGTTTACAGATCCCTCTCAGCCTTGCAAGAACGAAAAAATGAAGAGCAACGATTAATCTCAATGATAGCTTAACTGTTAACAGAATAATCAAATTTGTTGGAACTGAATTATATAGATATATTAATCGGATATGTTAAAACTGGTAGCTTTATAGTGCAGCTAATGATCATTTGTTAAATTCTATTTTCTTCCCAAGTGCGTTTACTTTTAAAGTACGAGTGTTGTTGTTATGTGTAATTAGTACGTATTAGAATTGCTCAAGTATTAAAATGTCTTACTCCACATGATTACTAATCGAATTTTTAGACCAGCATGTTAATGAAAATAAAAAGTTTGCAAACTTAAAATATTGGTATGCATGTTATTCGGATATGCTCCTTATTTGATTTTTTTTAAATAAACCTGATAATTCGTCGCTCAAATCCGGTGAGTCTTAGTTGTTTCGTAGTATGTCATCAATTAGTTTTGATAACTACCAATAATCTTTGCAAGGTGTTATTCGTAAATTAGTGAGAGTAAGTTCCAAGTTAAATTTATGTTAATAGAAAACATGTATTTAGTGAATTGCTTTTATCGTTCCTTTTAAAGTAATAGATCGTTTTTCTACGTATATTTAATTTAAAGTGAAAACTGGTTGTTAAACTTTAATTAATGCTTAGTTAATAAAAATAAATAAATTCCTTTATTTTTTGTAAAGTGTGTTAAGAAGGGGTAGTTTGGAAGTTTTTTTTTTTTTGAGTAGATTTTATACGCTTTTATTATTACTTAAAGAGATAGTGCTACGTCATAAGTTTGTAATTAAATTGTGTTTGCTTAGTAATTTACTGTATATAATATTTATATTCTGATAGGATTCATATTTTAGTAGTATTTGACTTGCTTAGCGAAACACAAAATATTGCAAGTATTTTCGCGATTATCAATTCATTTAGACGGTAAAAAATCCGAAAGTAAAAAACGAAAAATCAAAAAATAACCAAACCGTGTCTCCTGATCTAATTTTTTTTGTTAACAAATCAGCATCAGTATAAAATTTACCAAGGTCCGTTAAGTACATCGTTTTTCTGCATGGGCTTTACCAGAGCACTGTAAGCTAAAGAGCAAGAGCACAGGAATAATTTATATAAAACGCGATCAACTTCGTGATATGAAAAGTAACCTTTTTCAGCCATTGTTTCGATACAAATAGTCTTCAAATAGGAGCAAAAATGCTAATTCAATAAGTTCATGTTTCACACTTTATGAACGAGTATTTCTAGGGTGCTAATAATAAAAGAGCGTTAGAAAAAAATGATTCTCTAGAATTACTCAGATTTGAAACCCAAATTTATTATCTATCCAATAATTCAATTTGAATATGCGTTTTATAAAATAAGAAATGTTTATTGAAGTGACTTTGTGAATAACTAGCAAATTTAAACTTTTTATTTAGTACTTATTAAATTTATATTGTGCCAGAGGTTTTTTTAGTGAAGATCCCATATATTATTAAGTGTTAAATATTATAGCAATTTGTAATTTGGATTTAGTAATTCTATTCTTCAGATTTTTTGCTTCGGACCTACATCAGATTCTGATTTCCTAGTTTTTGTAGCAAGATTTTTGTATAACGTTTTATTCCGTGACATATTACATGACTATTTTTCTATAGCCCTATCTAACCAACTTAGTTTTTATACATCAAGTTTTCTTTTTGAGTTTGCATCATTTGTACGAATAAGTATTTCTGAAACTGCAGTATACCATTAAATATCACTAATGTAGTAATGTGATTATCCTGACGACAAAAAGGCAATGATTAAATTGATTTGTGCTGAATTACGTACGATTTTATTCTCTGTACAAAACTTCCATTTAAACTAATTTCTGGATGGCTGTTAATAATTGTAATATACATAACAACAAAAGATTTGTCATTTTAATGTTTTTACAATTTAGAAAGGCTTTGTTTGAGACTATAAGTTGTTTCACCTATTAACAATCCACACTTGTTTCTTTACACTGCAGTACTAGCATATCTTTCTTTGATACAATTACATACAATAACCTGACAATAGCCTGACTCGTGATCTCAAGAAATTTTCTTCTGTGAACATTTACATTAACAATCTCTAATTAGAACGCTATAAATTTCTAATGAAATATCGCAATTTAAAATGTATATTTTAACTATTTACCTTAGAAATGCACCTTCACAGCCTGATTTGATGTAGACTCACTTGGACAATATGGACATTTAAAACGACCGTTTCCTTTACTCAACTTATTCAAACTCTCTTTACATATCACATGTCCGCATGGCATCATCATAGGAGGATTGTCTTCTGACGATTGCTCTTTCGATACAGGACAAGCAAAAATAGAATGGAACCTCATATCATCTGTAAGAGGAACTTCAACCTTCACACCAAATTAAAGAAATTATCAAGAGTTTAATAATTAAGTATAATAAATCTAGGCGAGTTCAGACCACTCAAGTAGCTTTAAGTCGCAGATAAATTAGTTTGAGTCTTAATTCTTGCCATGTAATTTATAAACTTTGAATAAAGGTTCTGAGAACTACATCGCATAAAATTGCTAATGAAGATAGAGGCGTAGCCTCACCTTAACAATAGAAAAAAGCAAACAACAAAATATATATTAATATAAATAGATATATACCGGTAGTTCATCCTGTTGACTCCATTCATTCTTCTTTTCCTTCATAATGGTCGCCATTTTGATGATCGTAGGTAATGCAGTCGAACCAACTGTTAAACTTGTATATAAGGGACTATCACACGACATTTTCAACAGATTGCAAAAATCACGCGTGAATGTTATTTTAATATCAGTCCATGCATCATTTGACGTTAAATCCGCATAAGGAGATGATTCTAAGCGGTCATTGTATAATATAGCACACATAAGCCGTCTAATTTCGTGCATGTGTCTCGTTTGAAAGTAATTGAAATTTAATCTGGCATAATTTAAAGCTTCTTCTTTGTTTTTCTGTTTAACAAGATATTTAATGTAGTGAAGGCGATGAAGATCAAACTCCAACGAGCTACCCCTCTGTTCTAATTCTTTGCGTTTTGATTTTGCCCACTCTAGAGCTGGACGTAAATTGAAATTATCAATAGCATCCAAAATTTTGTACATATTATCAAATTGTTCTTGTAAATCGATAGTGATGTCCATTAATTGCGTATCTTGCATGAAAGTATCCACTAATTTAAATTTGCCTTGGCGTATAAAATGTAATGCTATGGTTCTTTGAAGAACTTGTTCCTTATCAACAAATGCGTCAGGATTGCTGGCGATTGTAATATCCTGTTTCCATTTCTTGTCTATTACTTTTTCGTATCTTGATATCGTTTTTTGAAATTCTTTATGATCATCTGACATTTGTGACGTTAAAAGTTCGACAGACCGGAAAATTTCGGCAAGGTTTTGCTTTACAGTCTCTACTGTACTTGTGGAATCCTGAAGTATTTTTTGGTTTACTTCACGCAAAGTTGATGTTTCCATTTTCTCAGTGATCTTTGGAAAAAAATCAATATGTTTCGCCTCTATTTTTTTATACTCTGTTTGTGCGCTATTTAAAACATCCATTGCTATAAAAAAAAAAAAAAAAAAGAAAAAAAAAACTCAACGTGAGGTGCAAAGTAAAGAAAGTGTTTAGTTTTCGCGAGTTTAAGATTAGTCAGACCCCTATTTCTATATAACACGACATTCAAGCAATTTGATTGGACATGGGTCTATTTTGACATTGATGTTATCTGTTATTAAAAAATATTAAAAAAATAACATAACAGACAACTGATAACCATAAAAAAAAACAAAGCCCTTGCTCTACATCGCGAAATTTATACAAAAGCAATTTTTTTTTTTTTTTATTGACGTAACTTCTAATGGATTATCAGCGACAACTATTAGAGGAGTTAATGGCTCCTTACGAATCGTCAGCAAAACATAACTTTTGGGATGACAGCGTATGCAAACATTTCCTGGTCAAATTTTGCCCTAATTCTCTCTTCACCAACACAAAATCCGATCTTGGTACATATAAATAAACACACTTTTTTTACCTCTGAGCTTTCTTAACGTTTAACTTATTCTTTTGATCGTGATCTAGGTCCTTGTACTAAAATACACGATGAAAAGCTACGTCAACAGTGCGTAATATTCCTTATTGTAAAAATAGAATTAAGCTCTCAAATGTCAAAAATAATTATAGCATTATTATACTACGATTAGATATCAGGAGGCACCAGAACGTGGAAAGTATGGATATGAAATCAAATTCTACGACTATTTACAATCGCTGTGTAATGACTTGGACAAAAAAATTCGAAAGGGGAATGATAGGTTAAACGTCCGTCCGGATGATACGGTATACAATTTTATTCGCACTTAATAACTCGCTTGATTGGTTATAAACTTATTTAGCTTCTATTTGCTTTCAATGTACATGTAGCTTTTAAATCCTAATAAAGATGAAAAGGAAGAAAGGATGATTATATTAGATATAAAAATCAAAGAATTATTAACAAAGGTAATAAAACCTAATTTTTAACATAATTGATTGTTTATATGAAATTTCATAGATTTTAAATCTATAATTTTTTAAGATTGAGGAAGCAGGTGAGGAAGGACGCGTTCAAGAAGCACAAACTTTGACTAAAGAAGTAGAAACGCTTCAAAAAGATTTGGATTTCTTGAAAAACGTGAGTATATCATACAAAAAAAAAAAAAAAAACAAAACAAAACAAAAAGACAATATTACGTAGGGAACAAGCGAAGAAGGAAAGCCTACAATATGAGGTAACTTCATTGTATAACATGTAGTTTATAAAATCTAAATTGGATAACAAGACGTTCCTCCAAGAACGTTTCTGAAAGCTAACTTTACAACCCAACAGTTTTAGCATCCTCCGTGATGCAACATACTTTTTTTTTTTATTTTGGGAAGCTACTTTACGATATATTCCACTATATATTGAACATAAATTCCAGGGAGACATTTGAAAAATCGGTAGACTTTCATATTTTGTTTCCCTGTTCACTAACCTTTCTATCTCCAAATCAATTCCATGAAACCAATTCTCCGGTCCATCCTTTATGATTTGAAATACTTAGAGCGACGATTCAAACCCATTATTTAAACAAGAAAGAAGAATGTTAGTTTGTGAAGTATGTGGAGCTTTTCTGGTGACAAACGATACGTCTAATCGTATGGACGCTCATCTACAAGGAAAGCAACATACAGGATACAAGCAGATTCGTGAAACTCTTCATGAATGGAAGGTAAGGATTGATCATTGAATGATTCAAGCTAGTGTTCGGCAAAAAATCCGGATCGAGTTCTGATCCACATAGAGATCCGATCCGGATTCGATCAATACGGAACACTAATTCAAACCATAAGCGTTTGTTTCTTTGTATTCTGTTTTCGTTTTCTTTTCAAATCTTATTGGAAAAATATGTTTCTAGCAATCACGATCACATTCATCTCGCGATTCAAGTCGTGACCACCGTCGAGATTCATATGTTCGGCACGAGCCGTACCCTCGCAACCGTAGAGAAAAGTACAGAGAATATCGACGTGACGAGAGAGATTATCCAGAGAGAGATTATGATGATTATAGTCGTAGGAGAAATGGTAAAGATTATCGACGCGACCGAGACGATCGAGGTCGTCGATATTACGATGATTGAGTTTTTCAGGTACCTCTTTTTTTTCAAAAAAAATTGAAAGTAAAAAAATCTAACGTCATCGGCTCGTATTTGGCTCGGAGTAATTTTCGTCCCAAATCGTGTCTTTGAATAAAAGCTAATTAAAATAGATTAATCGATCATATTTATATCTCGATGATTAAATTGAACTTTTTCTTTTACATATTCAAGATTTATTAATTATAGATGTGAATGATTATAATAAAATGGGTGAAGCTTCAAAAAAAAAAAAAATTATTCAGAAACAAATTATTGCTGTATATATTAATACACCAGTTTGCGTTGTCAAACCGATACATTCTTGTAATTTTCACTATTATAATTAATTATTAAACTGATTACAACAGTCCTCGCCTCCGTAGTTCTCTACGCTCTTCCAACTATATAGAAAAGACAAAAAAATAAAATAAAGAATTTACATGCATTCAACAACGTAGTTAAATATAAAGTCTTAAAATTCCTTACCCATTTTTTTTTACACTCACGATATTGTAAAAATAAATCTTGGCATTTACTTTTGTCATAATTATTAGAATCCAAACATTTCATAGCAGCAGAAGTTTCGTTTGGACACGGATCTAAAAATTTTGAAGTTTGTTTAACTTTGAAGGACTGGTGAATATCATTTAAAGAAATTTGGTCGGTCATGGTAAAGTGCTAAATTCAATTTATTGTAAATTGTGAGATTTGAATCCACATAACGATAACGATAAAATTTAAGCCGGATTCAAATGACTCGGGTTATTTGTGGCAGGAAATTCATGCGATTGGCTCAAATTTAACATATCAATATTAACGGATTTTTTTAATTATCGCCAACAGCTGCCTTTGCGTCGAAGGTGCGTCAGGAGTACGTCAAGTGTAAAGCGGAGAAACAAAAATTCAGCAGATCGGCCCGAATTATGGGTCGGATTTAGGCCGGCATTAAGAAATAACAACAACTAACTAACTGCATTACACCAAAATTATCATCTGAGCAGCTTTATTTGGTGAGTGGGCTATGGTTTTATTAGTAAAATTTTGAGTGATTATGGGCAAAATTAATCAATGCCAGTACATTCCGACCCATAATTTGGGCAAATCTGCCGAATTTTTGTTTTTTCACTAATTTATTTTTAAAGCTGATCATTACTGGTGTATAATTTACTAATAAATTTGCAAAATCAGATGTAACGTGCAAATTAATTTGTATAACAAAAATAAAGAGGTTTTTTAAAAAAATGACAATATCTTAAGAATTTATTTATAAAATTACTGTATTTTCAATGTTTTACAAAAAAAATTTTTTGTTAAATTTTGTATATACTGTAATTAACACGTTAAAGTTTTAAGTCTTATTCTTAGTATTAAAGATTTGAAATTTTTTTTTAGTTCTTTGAGAATATAAATTAATAATTTTATATTTTTATAAAAATTTTAATGTTTTAATGATAAAAAAAAGTGTGATAATTTAGAGTAGTAGTTAAGTTGTTATCTCCAAGTAGCAGGTCTAGAGTTTGAATCTTATTAAAAATGTTTTTAGAAAAATAAATCTGTATATTGATAACATTTATTCAATAATTAGTTAAATATATTACCTGTAATCTTGATATTATATCTTAAAATAAAAGTTTTTAGATAATCTAAATTCAAGAAATCAGAATATTTAAAATCTGTTTAGTAAGACTTAAGCAAGAAGATAATGAAGATTTTTGATAATATTACAGAGAATTAAAACAGAAAATTAAAAAATTAGACAAAAACTTTGAAACAAGAAGGGTTTATTAATCTGGTTATCAAAATTATATTGGAAGAAAAGGTCTTATATTACAAAATTAAAAAACAAGAGAAATAAAACCAAAAAGCATTTAAGCCTATATATAACAATCTATTTAAGTTAACTGATTTGTTAATTGAAGAGAAATTAGTATAAAGACTGGTTTGATATAGATATCAGGATCAGAATAAACTTTGTAAAAGCACAAATATTAAAATTATGCAGTTTAATTGTTAAACCTGACTGTTAGTAGTAATTTTGATTATTGTAAAAGATATTCAAAACCTAATCTGAAAATGTATAGAAAACAGAAAGATTTAGAATTATATACTATACTTTTTCTAGAGTAATCTAATAGTATAAAAATCCTATCAAATTATCTATAGTATTACAATATAAATTTATAATATTATTGTAGCAGACCACTTCTAAGCATCTATGAAGTAGCCAGGAGATGTCAGACCTAGATATTAAGCTCAATATTATATCATTTACTTATATAATATCTTAATAAAAAATCATTGGCAAGGTTGCCAAAGATTAAAAAAAATTTATAATATTATACTAATAGTTTTGTAAAACAATACTTTATAATTTATAGTTTATATTTTAGATATAATTTTTGTTAAATTTATATTTTATTAGAATTTATATTATATTTAGAATAGTTAGAATATTAAAGTATATACTAGTATGTACTATATACTAGTGTGTACTATATACTACTATATGTTGTATACTACTATATACCATTACTATGTGCTATATACCACTATATGTTATATATTAGTATATACCACTTGCCATATAGTTGTACTATATATCAGTATATACCACCTGTTATATGATTATATAGAAGTATATACTACTTGCTATATAGTTATATATTAGTATATATTAGTATAATATATATAGTGTATGCCAGTCAGGATTGAATAAAGTTTATTGGAAAAATTATTAATAGAGTCAATAGAGTAAATAGAATAGTATCCATTGGCTCCATTAATTCCATCATGAAATTTTAAAATCAATAATCTACTCATTGTTTATTTTTAAAAAATAAACATTGTATCTTTAATTGGTAATTTGCCAGTCAACCAGAGAAGATCTGCAAATTTTTATAAGTAAATTTTACTATTAAGCCAAATGTAGAGTGTATTAATCTAAACCTTTTTTTCTTACTAAGTAAATCACTTTTAAGCTCATAACAAAAGTCATAGAGCTTATCAAAATGTATCTAATGGTAATAAGAACATTAAAATTAGCCTAGTAGTTGTTGAGATATCTTTAAAAAATATTTAGCCAATATATAAAATTTCTTTAAAAAAAATTGATTTTTTTTAAAAAAATTTTATATGTTAATAAAATATTTTTTAAAAATTTTTTAAGAACCTTTAAGCTAATTTTAACATTCTTACCACTATTAGATGCATTTTGATGAGCTTTATAACTTTTGTTATAAGCCCAAAAGTGATTTACTTAGTAAGAAAAAAAGTTTTAGATTGGTGCATTCTACATTTGACTTAATAATAAAATTTATTTATAAAAATTTGCAGATCTTCTCTGGTTGACTAACAAATCATCAATTAAAAATAATTATTTTGATGTACAACTAGATTTTTAACGACTTAATTAAATATATATTGTATATTATATTTTAATATATTAAACATTGCAATAATCAACAAAGCTTCTAATTTTCAATAACTTTTTAGATTAATTAACCCGGATTAATCATTTAGATTTAAAATTTTGTGATGTCTATTAAACCAACCAATCATATTTATATTATTTTAGTAATTATATTCTAATTTATATAATTACTAATAACTTTTGATCTACTAATTCATTTTAGATAAATTAACTACTAAAATTTTTATCTTAATAAGATCTTAGTAAAGTCAAAATTGTTAAATAGGGGTGTGGTGACTTAGTGAAGTAGTTGGGTTGTCACCTCCCAAGTGGCACATCTAGAGTTCAATTTCCACCAATAGCAAAAAAATTGAATTTTTTTGTATAATGGCAACTCTCTAGTATATTGGGAAGAAGATCCTGTAATATCAGTCATACCTTATATAGGAAGAATATCTATTGTACTATCAGGTTGATCTAAGGGAGATCTCAGGGCATTTGTGTAATATACGAGTTGCACAAAGAGGATACAAAACCGGTAAGGTGGTGTAAATTCATAATAAGTCTTTAGATCATGTAAATCTGATGAATGATGCTATGAGAAGCCCGCTTGGCAAGATCTGAGTAGAGAGATAGCACAAGCTTTCAACAGTGCCTACTGAAATAAGCTTCATCCAAGGCTAAAAAACTGGATGAGACAAGAGTACCTGCAAGTTACTCTATCAACCAGGCTACCAGGCCGATCAGAGGAAAAGACTGGTGTTCTTTCCAGACTATCTGGATTGGTAGTCTGGGGAGACCGGCTAGGAGATACTGTAAGGGAAGGTATCAGGTTGTCTTGAAGGGGAGGTGCTGGGGTTTGGATAAACTCTACATGGGCTGAGTAGGTAACGGTAGCGGCTTTGGCTCGCAAGTACTTGGTTTCGGCCTAAACGTAAGTTATCGAAATAGACTAGGTAATACAGTAATAGTGAGTATCAGACTGCTCTAACAGGTAATGCACTTGAGAATAAATTGGCTAACCATACCAGTAGTCCTATAGGTAGTCTGCAATGATCCTGGAACTTGGACTGACTAATGTATCGCATGTCCCGGGTGAGGTTAGATAGATTGGTATAGGAAACTCAGATCAGAGGGTTTAATTGGGTAATCCAAATAATAGTGGGTTATAAGTACGGCATCTAGTATAGTACTTAGTAATAGGTAGCTACTTAATTAGGTGCTCAAAAGGCACAGGTATGGCTAGAATGTATCCTTGTTAGAATGTACTTATTTGAGGCCCTCTTGAAAAGAGCACCACATGATTTTATAATTTAATAAAAGCGACGAGTCAAAGAGGCTAACCTTGACTACAAAATTGTTAAAATCTAAATTACAGAATTCCAAGATCACTTAAATATTGTGTAATTTTAATAAAAGTTTTTAATTCTTATAAAATCATATAAAATTAAGCAATCTTAGAATTCTGTGATTAGATTTTAATAATTTTAATAGGCAAATCACGAGTCATCTAAACAAAATATTTTTTTTATATATAAATTTTATTATAAGTGCGAATGTGGAGTGCACCTATCTAAAAATTTTTTCTTACTAA